CATTCACTTTGTCCGACAAAGGGGCTGATCCTGTCACTATGATCACCCACTTAGATGAATTCTCGGACTGTCCCAACATACCCAGGTTTTGACCCCCTCTAAGGATCTCACTGATTGGCATATCAAAGACAGCCCGATCCGACACCTAGTGCAGTACCATAATCGAGTCTAGGGTGCAAGTGTAACATTCTAGTTTTACCCATCTATCTCCAAGGTCTTGGGCAATACTAGAATTTTGGTATGGTTTAGTGTTTCAAGAAAACCCACACTACATGTACTTAAGGTCTCACCCTGGCAGCTGAGACAAGCCACCCCAACCAACTTGGTGGTACATCAGTATCAACCTTGGTAGGACAAATCTCCCTAGATCTATCCAACGACTAAAAAGATTCTAAACTAACATGAGTCTCATAAGTGTCCAGTTTAAGAGTATTACACAGAATCACACCACAATGACATGAATCAATTATGTACTTTATTCATTTACAATAAATGTCAAAAGATACATCAATCTGATTGGAACTAAGGGCATAACTGTCTAATAACTCCTATTTGCTGCTTTTCTAGCTAACAACACACGATCCTATCGTGAAGATATAACCAGATGTAGACTTTCTTTCACCTGGATCTGACTGGAAATCGACATCAGTATACCCCTAGATCTGTAGTGAACTACCATAGAATACCAGACAAAACTCTTTTGTCCTTTGAAGGTATTTCAGTATGTTTTTCACAACGGTCCAATGCTCATGCCTTGGGTTAGATTGGTATCTGCTTACCACACTCACTGCCTGAGAAATGTCAGGACGAGTGCACAACATGACATACATGATACTCTCTACGGCTGAGGCATAGGGAATCTCTTTCATGCCCTCAATCTCTTCGGGAGTCTTGGGAGAATACCCTTGGAGAGAGTGACTCCATGCCTGAAAGGAACATTTCCTTTCTTGGAGTTCTCCATATAGTATCTCTTGACTATCTTGTCAATGTAAGCAGACTAGGATAATCCTATTATCCTCTTTGATCTATCTCTATAGAGTCGAAGACCCAATATGTAGGAGGCTTCTCCAAGATCTTTCAAAGAGAATTGCTGTGAAAGCCACACTTTCACCATAGTTAAAATTCCTACATCATTCCCAATGAGTAGAATGTCATCTACATACAGAACCAAGAACATAACCTTATCCCCATTGGTCTTCCTGTAAACACAGGGCTCATCTGGATTTTGCTCAAAGTCAAACTATTTGATGGTAGAGTCAAACCGGATGTTCCAACTCTTAGAAGATTGCTTAAGTCCATATATGGATCGGTTGAGTTTACATACCATGTGTTATTGACCTGCAGCTATGAAACCTTGCGGTTGGTGCATATAGATATTTTCAGTAAGATCTCCATTCAGGAGTGCGGTTTTGACATCCATTTGCCAAATCTCGTAGTCACGGTACGCTGCTACAACTATCAGGATCCTAATGGATTTAAGCATGGCCACAGGCGAAAAGGTTTCCTCATAAGTGATTCCCTCTTTCTGAGTGTACCCTTTTGCCACAAGACGAGCCTTGTAGGTCTCAACTTTACCGTCGGGGCCCTTCTTTCTCTTATAGATCCATTTGCAACCAATTGCCTTTACCCCAGGGGGCGGATCTACTAGAGTCCAGACTCCATTGGTCTCCATTGAGTCCACCTCAGCTCTCATGGCATCTACCAACTTTAAGGAATCTATGTCCAACATAGTTTCCGAATAAGTCACGGGATCCTCCTCACTGGTCATGGCTTTCGCCAAGTAACTTTCTTGGTCATAGCTGTAACGAAC